AAATTAAATTATCATAAATATAACACAAAAATATATAATTATTTATAGTATTATAATATAATACATAATATATAATAAAAAATATATATAATTTGGCTATGTTATTGAGAGCACCCTGTATGAGTGAAATTAATGAAACTGCATGGAAAAATTAATTAAAATGATGAAAAAATACCTTAAAAATGTTTTCCACTGTTAATACAGGACACTGCAATGAATGAAATTTTTCGAAGTTTGCACCTATTTTATGAACACCTACAAAAGCTATAATAATGAAACTTTGTATTTAGGGTTTTGAGGTGTGATCAAATCGAAAATTCTATCCATTTCTTTCTTAAAAAAATACCTAATATGTTTTTTTAATTTTTGAAAGTCTTTTATTAATGATAGTAGGCCGTAGAAAAGATCACATCTCAAAAAATATAATATCAAAGAGTAGGCCTTTTTGAGACTACCACATGAAAAAAAGAGTTTTGGAAGTCGGCCAACGCCATCCTAAATATGGAGGTGTTCCGACTTTAAGTGACACACACTGTATGTGGATAGGACTGGATAGAATTTTTAAATTTTAAAAGAAAACGTTTATTATTTTCCATAATTGTATGATAGCTTTTTCTAGGTTTTATTTAATATAAGGTGTATTAAATGAAGAAATAGAAAAGCTTCAAGATAATTTTGAAAATATAATGATTGTACCAAATTAAAACCAAATTTTTTTCCCGAAGCTCTAGGGCCTATACTTTCTCTAATATCGTACCTCGCCGACCTTAGTGGGACACCCTGTCCCTGTACAATATAATTGTAAATTCACTTCTCATTTGGAACGTCATTGATGACATCAAACAGATAACACTTTTAACTGCAGTAACTTTACCGCATTTTCTTTCAGTGTAGTGCTTACACATTTTAAATACTATAAAGTAAACAAATCAGTCACAATATATCCCCAAGTAGGATGTTAAAGCCAGGGAAAGTGCTCGGATATTTAATCAAACACATCCAACCCGAATTGTTACGTGAGCCGGGTTATTTATTATATTGTTTATTTCCCTAGAAGGAAAGTAAATAAAGCCTTTAAAGTGAAAACGTGGGGAGGGGGCGTTATACACGAGTGGAAATTCTCAGTAGCGCGGCTCAGGTGAAATTTAGGACGGCGATTTAAACAAATATCTGTCAGCGAGCAAGTTATTGCTGAGGTAAAATACAATTCCGCGCATTCTTAATAAGATGGAAATCATTGTGACGCTATAGCTCTAGCCGGCGTAATGAAAAACCGCGATACGCGCTTTATGTAAATCGCGCGCGGCGCTGAAAGGGCCCGCCGAAATTTTCAGGCGTGGGGCCGGGCTGCTTACTATATTTTCAACGCCGTGAATGTAGAATTTGTGTAATTGCATGCCTGCGCTCCTAAGCTCGCCGAGAGATAACGCTGCCATTCACACCGGGAGGACTAATTTATGTGGGCACTTGATTTTTTGGGGAGATAAAGCAATATGAAGTCCGTAGGGTAAAATGGAGGTATGTCATACAGGGTGATTCATAAGTGGTGACCAAAAATGAAACCACGTATACTTTGGTGAATTTTAAGGGGAATCTTTCCTATAAAGTTTTTATCTAGGACGCTTCGTTAAGAAGATACACAGGGTGTTAAACTTCAAAAAAATATTTTTAATTTTTTTAAATAATTTAAAAACTAGTAAATAATGGTTAAAGTGCCCGTCGGCAAAACTTTTATTGATACATACTCTCTCCAAACATCTTATATAGCTTCATTAGGCCTAGTCTGACATCTTTTTCCTCTGTGACTTTTTTCGATTTTGGGGTGTTTTCCCATTAATTTATCCGAAACACGTCGTTTTGACGACATATGAAAAATGTATAGGTACTGTTTTTTTTAAATTGAATAGCTTAAAAACTTCAAATGAAACGTGAAAATAAAATTCTCTGACGAAAAATATGAGCCGTACAAAATGTCTGCAACTCGAACATGTCAGAAAAACTACTATAAAAAATATTAATAACCAGCTGATTTTCTCAAGATCATATCTTTAAGAACTCCAAAAACAACTTTTCATATTGTCTGACGAACATTATTTTGCGATTTTCCAGTCTGACGTGTCAAAGTTGTCGATTTCATGACTACAAAAAAATTATTAATAACCGTCAGACATTGAAAATTATACGCAGAAAAGCAGTACTTAATATGTGGTACACATCTCTGACAAATATATTGGGGCGTAACTAGAGTCTGACAAGAAAATTACATTTTTCAACAATGACAGTCCTATATTGAGTTTGTAATAATTATTACTTCAATAATCGCTATTCAGCTTCTTTACGCTATTATAAATAAAAACTATATTAATTAGGTAATTAATAAATGAATATCATGTATTTTATTAATATAAATGATTTTATAGGAAAAATTTCGAAAATTTTGAAAATAAAAAAAATATGAAATCAAAATAAAAAAATTATAAAAAAATAATTTTACTTAATTTTCGGAAACGCTTTCATTGTCATCCGTACTTTCTTCATATGTATCATCACTATCGTAATTGTCTTCTTCCTCAGTTTCAGAATGAAGATATTTATCATCAGCATCTGAAAATTTAAGTTTGTTTCTTTAGGATTAGTAGGATCAAATAATTTTTAATCAATTTTTTTACGTCAATTTTGCTAGGATTGAGCTGAAAACATGTTTGCGTACTACTTAAAGCCTTATGAATCAGGCGCTTTTCCGAAATTTTCCAATAAAATTTAGCTATGGTGAAAAAATCAGCTCGTTATTAATAAATACGGTCTTAATTTATTCTTGCGAACGCAAGGTCCAAACGTAGCTAGAAAACTAAATTAAAATTATTTTATTTAGTATTTTCATGTAAAGGGCTCTGTTTTAATATCAGACAATTTGTTTATCATATTCTAATTCTATATTCAATTTAAAAACCAAAAAATGTTGAAAAGAATTATTATTAATAAATTTTTTTAATGAAATGAAAAAATTTTCATGAAATCGACAACTTTGACGCGTCAAACTGGAAAATCGGAAAATAATTTTCGTCAGACAATATGAAAAATTGTTTTTGCAGTTCTTAAAGATAGGATCTTGAGAAAATCAGCTGGTTATTAATAAATTTTTTTATAGTAGTTTTTCTGACATGTTCGAGGTTGCAGACATTTTGAACGCCTCATATTTTTTGTCAGAGAATTTTATTTTCACGTTTCATTTGAAGTTTATTCAATTTTAAAAAAAAAAACAGTATCTATAAATTTTTCATATGTCGTCAAAACGACGTGTTTTGGAAAAATTAGACGGAAAATGCCCTAAAATCAAAAAAGTCACAGAGGAAAAATGTGTCAGACTAGGCCTAATGAAGCTATATAAGAAGTTTGAAGAGAATATGTATCAATAAAAATTTTGCCGACGGGCACTCTAACCATAATTTGAAATGGGGCACATGTATTTATGTAAACATTGTCCAAAATCTGAAGGCTGTTCCTAAAATTTGCATGCTCCATTGGCGGAGATACAAGGTATCGGTGGCATATTTTTCTAAATAAAATGTACGCCACTGCTTTACGGTAACAATCATGATATTTTCGAATTTGTCTTTCAATTTTCTACAAATTACTGCACTCTATGTTTTTTCGAAAAAAAACTAATTTTCGAGTAAAACTTAAAAAACCAACTGAAATCACTTTTACTTAAATGACATGACAAACACTATTATATATGACAAAAAAATACATAGAATTCCGTAGGTTTGGTCGGTGAGTGCAACTCCACTTTTTTTGTGTGCCATATATAGGAATTTGGACACTTTAGAAGTGATTTTCTCAAAATTAGTGGGTGCAATTCGATGTTCGGATTCGAGTTCAGCAAGTCTAAATATACAAAAATCAGAAGATTTGGTCCGAGTGCAAGACCACTTTTTTTGTGTGTTATTAATCAGCCTAAATTTGTCCAAATTTAATCTTATGCTCTAAATCGCTGTCTTCTATACTATCGTCCATGTAGACTGGACATCTATTGTGTAAATCTGATAGAACGTGATTCAATGTTCTTTTTAACGTTGAAGAAGCATTTTTAAATTCAAATGGTATTCTGAGGAACTCATAAGTCCATTACTTCTTCAAAATACCATTTTCTCAAAATCTATAATGCTAGGCACCCCAACCTAATTTGCGTATGACAAATGTACTCGGCACAGTTTTTCACAATTTTTTTTTAATCTGTCAATTCTGAACCTTCCTTTTCCACTATTGTCCATTTTGTTTGAAGTGATTCATACGGGAGATGACCATGTTTTATTCAAGCATGTTTATTCTTATTAAATTTGTTGTATTTTAGTTAATGTGCTTAAAGGCTGGTTTACTATACTTTCATAAATAAAACATGGTTTGTTTTATTAAGACTTATCAATAGAGTTCGGGACTCGGTCGGATGATCATAACCGTCGCGTCAGCCTTTCGCTACAGCGCACCATACGAAACTGATAATAACAGCAATTATTGGTTTCGCGTTTGCTTCGTGTATACGTGTTTTAATATTCTAATAATGTCGAACGCGCCAAAGGGTAAAAAACGACCTACGAAAATTTATTTATTTTTATTTATACCTACCTGTTTATTTATTTGTTTACGACGAACACGCCTATGACTAGCCGACAAAAACCCCGAACTCTACTTATCAACTTACTTATTATATGATATAATATTATAATATAATCCCTATGCATTAGTTTTATTTAACATTATTTAGATTCCATTTTCTTTACAAACTCAACTGGCAAAACTAGTTAATTATTCGTGTATTGCCAATATTAATTTATTTAATTAATGCAAATTTGTTTACTTCAGCGCCTTCCTCACGAATTTAATTAATACAACTGCCTTACATTTCCAAATTGCGGAAGAAGGGGCGAAATTTACTTGTAAATCAAACCGCAACTCTCCTCCTTATAGCGCTTAATGTTATCGCCGTTATTATTTTCCAGATCCACCGCAAGTGGCCCTGCATTTGGGTAATACCCTCAACCCGGAGGACATAAAAGAAGGGGATGACGTTTATTTCGAGTGTAACATCAAAGCCAACCCGAAACAGCACAAGATTACGTGGTATCACGACGTAAGTATGCCTTCCGGTAATGTTCACTAGACGCTCTTTGGAATTATTGACTCTTTTGACGAGGGGTTATTGCGGGGACACCTGGACGTTTTATTGCTAATCGTAACAAGTCTGAAACTTGGAATAAGGATAAGGCATTTCATATTTGCACTGTAACGGCTAAGCGCTAGGCTAATTTCGACGCTTTCAGGGAGGTTTCATGTATTCCCCGAGGAGGTAGACAAAAAAAACAGCTTAGGATGTCTTAAACTCAATATCTTGTTTCTTTTAAGAAGTTTAAGAGGACGTTTTTGTGATGTCAAATGATTTTATTTATGAAAATTTTTATATAGGCCATTTATTTAGCATTTAGTTTTTTGCGAAAAATCCAGTGAAGAACGATATTCTTCTATAAATTCCGGAGATTCAGTTATAACCTAATTTTATACAGGGCGTTTCATAATGATGTACAAATATTTTAAGGAGGTGTACTTTCAATAAATTTTTTCGATTCAAATCTCAAAATGGCCGAAAAAATAGCTTTTATTTTTTTTTTTCACGAAAACGGTTAAAATTTGAAATTATAATTTATTTTTTTGCTTCTAAACTATAAAGTGTACGAAAAACTGTTTCTAAATAAAACGTAGTATTAAATGCTATTTTTTTGTTGCAATTAACTAACGTAAAATAAAGTTATGAAAGAAATAAAACAAGGGCTGCTAGTTTCTTTAATTCAAAGACATAAAAAAACAAAAAATACTACCAAAAGATATCATTCAACTAGTTGTTAACGTATACCAAAATTCAAATTTTTAATTTTAACCGTTTTCGCAAAAAAAAAATAAAAGCTAATTTTTTTGGGCCATTTTGAGATTCGAATATTTTCTCAAGGGGGGGGGCTCAAATCGAAAAAATTTATTGGAAACCAGGTATTGTTTTGAGGGTTGCTTTCGCTGTACAGCAAAAATAAAACGCTCTCTCAACGGTACACATAAACTATTTTTATTGAAAACTAAGCTTGTGGAAAAAGACGTGTTGTCGGTTCGAATGTTTGGTGGAGAGTCCCTGTGTGTGGAGTCGGTCGTAGGTATATGAGTAGGCATCTGGTCGACCGGCGCCAGCCCGCCGTAGACCCTCCCTGGAACGTTGGTGCGTCCGGCGGCGCTCTTGACGTAATGTTTAAAAATGGGTCACTTGCGAACATGTGTACCCACAGTTTTGAAATCAAAAATAAATTCAAACTTCCATCCATGCCACTTTTATAGTATAAAAAGTAATAATAAGTATAAAAAATACATATTTTATTTTCCAATTAGTCTTTTCGTCACTATGTATACAACATGTACTCATTTGTTCCAAAAGATAAATTTTAGAAGTTATCCTAGTACCTACGTTTTTTATTATTAAATTATTTTTTTAAATAATCTCGTATCTTTATATTTCACAGACCAACAAAATTTAACTTTTTTTTTGGAAGCAGAGACTTGAATATATATTTCTGAAGGATTTAGGTGCGCTGAATCCGAATCTGGCTGCAGAATTGCTCTATCACGTCAGGTTTTTGAGATATTCTAACCTAATATGCAAAAAAACACTGTTTTTCGTCATATTTGAGGTTATGTAGTAATGCCATCTATTCTTTTTCAAAACACTAATACATTGAATCTAAAAGTACAAGGCTCCCTTCTTCGAATGCCGTTGAAATTTTTAAGCTTCTCAGTTTTTTAATATGCGAAAATCTACTAAGGATCCCTTAGACATCAAGCAGTCGATTGAAATTCAGAAACTTCATACCCATACGGTTTGTGGGTTTGGAGTTGGTGGGCTTGGAGTTTGTAAGTTTGGAGTTTATAGGTTTGGGTTTTGTGGGATTGGGGTTTGTGGGTTTAGGGATTGTGGGTTTGGGATTTGTGGATTTGTGGATTTGGAGTTTGTGAGTTTGAGTTCGTATGTAGGTTTCTGAGTATGAAGTTTCTGAGCTGCAATCAACAGTTTGCATCTAAGGGATCCTTAGTAGATGTTCGCATATTAAGAAACTGATAAACTTAGAAATTTCAGCATGTGATATCTCAAAGAAAAAAAAAAGATATTTGAGCAAACTCAACAGCATTCGAAAGAGGGAGCCTTGTACTTTTAAATTATATGTACTTTTCTTTTTAAAGAATAGATGACATTACTACATAACCTCAAATATAACGAAAAACAGTGTTTTTTGCACTTTTAGGTTAGGATATCTTAAAAACCTGACGTGATAGAGCAATTCTGCAGCCAGATTCGGATTCAGCGCACCAAAATCCTTCGGGAATGCATATTAGTGTGTCTGCTTCTTGACCCTTGTTGACCTGTGTGTAGAATATGATGTTATCTACGGTTGTAATAAAGTCCTACTCCCAACAGTTTATTTTCACCGTGACAAAAAGTAACGTTAAGTAAGCCATGTCAGTAACGATTTTCGAGCTTCAGCCGACTGGAGAATTAAAGTTTTGCGAAGGAAATAAAAAATAAATAAACAAAATGGGAAGGAACGACCGGTTGGCAGATTTAATAGCTGGACAGCAATAATTTACCGCGAAGAGTAGGAAAATGGTGTCTCCAGGGAAACATATCTTTCTGGCCGTAGTGGGGCTACTTTTTTAAAGCCTTCAAGTGCCATAACTCGTATTTAACCATATCTGCTTCAGATATACCTATTCGATGGGCTTTATTTGCCCTGGGGATCAGCCCCGCGGGCTATAATTGGACCATCTTTATGAACTATAAAAACCAGATTACGGGAAATCTTTATATAAGGCTATAAAAAAATCCTCGTTGAACTGTGACGCGATATGATACACGATAATCGCGGATGAATTCCAAAACAGGTTTTTTTTGAAATCATAAAATTTGTTCCAAAGTGTAGGTATTTATAAAAGTTAGAATAGAAAGTAGGTTTTTATTCATTTTAAATATAATCTAGAGACGTATTCAATGGTTAAAATTAATGCATTTAGTTATAGTACAGTCATTGACTGAAAATCAGCTGTAACCTCCGAATTCTTTGAAACTGCATGGATTTGCATGAAAATTTAGAACAAGGGTCGGCAACTGGCGGACCGCGGTCCAGATCCGGACCGCGGAAGGTAAAATACTGGACCGCCAAAAATTTTTTGAAAATATAAATTGCTCAAATAAATTATTTAAAAAATATTTTTTACGTTTGAGTGCCACCCTTATCATTTTTTCTAGTATTTTACAATTGTGTGTGTGTTTTGAGTTCTTAATGGTTAGTAANTAGAGTGTTGATGTTTATGAATATATAAGCCCTTCTTATATATTAAGCGAATTGATTAAATGAGGTCATACGCCCTAAAAACCCAAAACCGACTATAGTGGCTCTTACGCCATTCTGATATGACGCCCTCGATATATTATATAAAAATGAGAAAGCCTATTCTGTTCCGAAAAAATGTCATTAGTTTTTTTACCATAACTTGGTTAATTTTAAAGCTACAGTATCCTACAAAAAAGCATTTTAAAGATAATTTCAAGAGCTGTAAGATCGTTTGCATATAAAACCTTTCAAGTCCTTCGCTTTTAAAGGGAAAGGATCAAAGGGTTCAAGACAGGTCGTTTTTTCACTAAAATGGATACTTCAAGTGGTGATATCTCCTTTATTTTTTATGCTACAGGAATAAAAAAAGTAAAAAAAATTTGTTGAAAAAAAAAGCTACCGTTTTGTTGTCTATCATTTTTTACGCATCTTTCATAGTTTTAGAGTTATTATATAAATAAGGCAGTTTTTTTGAATAATGAAAAATACGTTTTCAACTTTTACCGTACATTATTCAAAAAATACGCATTCTAAACCGGTCTAACTTCAGGATCGTATGAAAAACACGGTGCAGCGTTTAGGTACTGCTCATTTCTTCATAAAAAATATGAGCAATCCATCTGTTTTTGACGATAACTCCTTCAATTTTGCTCTAATTAACTTTTATGTGCTCATTTTGAAGGTCTTTTTGAGTACTACAAAAAACTCCCGGAGCGTTATACACGTAAAATTAATCCTTTTTCCGTTATTTAACATTGAATACATCGATTCAAGTATGCCCCAAAACAAGTCCCCTTCCACTAACCATATTTCGCTTTGTATAGGACGTACAACACATTTTAAAAAACAACTTTCTTTGTTTATTTTTAACTACATTTTTTACATTTTATTTTAGCTACATTTTTGTTTATTACACTTTTTTTAAAAATGCGTAGTTTTTGAGTTATTCGCGAAAAGAACTTTGAAAAAGTGTTTTTTTTTCACTCAAAATTCCAAGTTTTCAATCTTGAATAACTAAAAAACTATTGATTTCTCGAAAAAATTCTTCGAATATTTTTTGCTCAAAATTTGATTCTCTATCGATTTCCAGCGTTATCTTTGAAAATAAATTTCCCACTCCCGAGAAGGGGTGTCAACCCCCAACAGGGGGAAGCGTCAATCAGCGCTATGTCACTAATGTTCATTGACCTTTTCTCTAACTATCTGCCAAATTTCAAGTCGACCGGTTCAGTTTCAAAGAATTCGGAGGTGTAAAGCTTCAATGACTATAAGTAGTATTAAAGAAAATCAATTCAACATGTTTCATTTCTAAACCGCTTGAGAAATTTCCAAAAATTTTGCTATGTTTTTAGTAAGCTGATAAGTAGAAAAAAAAACAAATTCGTTTGCGTAAATGTGTTTTCTATCCTTTACCGTTTAGCCACAATAGTTATTTACACCATATAGTCCTGTATATAGTGTAGCCAGGGGGGTCCCAATTGCCTCCTTCATTTAGATGGAGTTACTCTAGTGTTTTTTGTGTATTTTGAGCTGCAGAACACGAATTTTTTGGGTAGAAGTTTGCCCGGATGTCGATAAGTCTTTTATTAACAAAAAACTTGCAAAATACTGAGAACTTAGTTTTTGGCAAAATAAAAAGTATTTTCTCTTGCAATTTTTTTTTAAACGCATAGTTTTCGAGATAAACGCCGTTAAAAACTCGAAAAATGCA